AGTTTGTGAAACTAGGACCTCATTTACGACATGCAAGGTGCGTTTTGTTGCTGACCAGAACTCTTCATTATGACACATGGCAACAGGTTACAGTGTGTTGTCATGCAGCTGAATGGTTAAAACATTTAAATAGTATGTCACTTATGTCTTGTGATACATTTCATGGGCCACGCTCTGTACTGTACTATACTGACTGCCTTCTAGTACTGCAGCCTCAGAGCTTTTCTATAGACTTTCGTTACTTCTGGCACAGAAATATAAAATAAACTTGCCTGTGCTTCCATATCTCTCACTAATTTAATGATAGAGAGGATACCTTACTGATTTTTTTTTAATTTAAATTTGATTTATTTTAACTTTTCTAGATACACAAGCACCAGTGGTCCCATACTGGCGCTTGCCTGGTTTGGGCATTATTGTCTACCTCCTGAAACAGAGCACTAATGATTTCTTCAGTTACTATGATAGCCATCGTCAGAGTGTTAACAAGCTGCAAAACGTGGAGCAACTCCCACCAGATGAAATAAAAGAGGTAACAGTTCTGCTGACTCAGTAGGTTTTTTCCCCCGAGTAGGTAGTTGTATCTAGTTTTATCTGGATTATCTGTTGCTTGTAACTTAGATGGAGACATAGCTTTAATAGAGATCCCAAAGCATCTTAGCAAAGTAAATGGTCCCAGTTCTTGTGCATGTTCCTTTCTACTGTTGATGAGTGACCTGAAACCTGGGGGAAAATATCGGGCTTAAGTTTGTAAAAGTTGTGAGTGATTTAATTATACTGGAAAGTTGTGTGTAACATTTTGGGACTGCTTATCATTTCTCTTTCTTGAATAAATAGATGTAACATGTACAGCCTTAGTTGCTGTGAATTTTGCATCGGTTTTTGCCCAGATGTCTGGGTTAGAGAGAGAATGGCTGTTTTATGTGGAAGAATCACGACTGTGGTGCTATCAGAATGAACTAATAAACTGATTGAGATACCAAACGAACATTGTCCTTGCTAGAAAAGTTGCTTGGGATTGCATTTTGTTTCTTCATTCTTTGGTCAGCAAGGTTATGCAAGTTAAAAAGAGAGCAACACCGGTTTGGGCCAGTAGTAGCTGACCAGATTATTGATAAGTAATTTTTTTGTTTATTTCTTTTAACGCTCTGTTCTGATTTGCTACAATCTTCTTGTTTCCTTTTTCTTACCGTAGCTGTGTCAATCAGTTATGCCAGCTGGGGTGGACAAAATTTCCACTGCCCAGAAATATGTTTTGGCGAGACGGCGCCTGGTGAAGCTGATAAACAACCGAGCCAAGCTGCTTTCTCTCTGTTCTTGTATCCTTCTAAAATTGAAATAACCCTCAAGGGGATGCCCTAGAAGAAGCAGCAAAATAGGATCAGGTGCTTTTTTCGTAGATACCAGTTAGGTTTCTCACCACTTTGAACAATACTTTTTGCAGAAGAGGCCTTTGTAATATTGATAGTTAAACTAGCGACAGGGAATTGTTCTGCTATTACCAGGTTGTAAATATTTTCAAGTTACTACGCTGACTGGAAGATGAGTGGTAATGTCCATCACACAGACCTTGCCGGGACATTCTGCAGCATTACGCTGGAGGAGGTATTACAGCCCAGCTCTTAAGTTTAGTATCCAGGGCCACTACCCATTTACACGTGTCTACAAGTGTGGTGGAAGAAGTACTTTGGAAAAGAACTTTGAGGTGCCTATTTGAGCAACCGGAGTTCACGGTCTTATAGCAGGGTGAGTAGCAGTCACTTGAACTAACCTAGCCAGCATTGCACTGAAGCAGGTAAGGAGAGTGCAGGTGAACCATTACCATGACAGAGCAATGGGGGTGGGGAGGGAGGTGACAGACGGTTTAGGTAACATCTTCAACTGCTTATTCAAGGTGGTTGCGCAAATACGCTCCTATAGTAAGAATACAATCTAAAGGCAACAAACTTAGACTCCTTCACTTTAGATGTGTTTCTACAGATATTATAGAAACATGTCTCTTCATTCTTTGGCGTCACCTGGAACACTACCTACTGCATTGCACGCCCGCCGATTCCCAAGACCCACTGCTGTCTTCCAGGACGTCGTTTAAGAGAGGAAGACTGCAAGGTAACACTTCTCAGATGTCAAGGTGCCTTTGAATAGCTTCTCCTAGCTAAATTTAAAACTGTTTTGCGCCTGTTAATATTTTGCCATTTATATTTAATGAAAGGATTTTGTTTAGATTTGGAAATACCTTTGGATTTCCCTCTAGAGTATTGGCAATCCAAGTATTGTTGACTGATAGACTTTGGGGTTTTATTTATTGTGTGTAATCTCTGAAGAAAAGCGAAATTGAACTATTTTTTTTATTTCTGTTTGCAAACCAGGTGAAGTTCAAGTAATAGAGTCAGATCAGTGATGAAAAACAGTGTATATGAAAATATTTTTAATAGAATAATCTAAGATTAAATTAAGAACTAAAATGAAGACTGGTGTTTTTGAAAGTATTTCTAGAATTGTAAGCACCATGATTCACCAGAAGATAATTAAGACTGTTGAATTTTGGTAAAAATTAGGAATGGAAGGAAGTCAGAAAGGTAGTCTGAGGAGGAGCTTTTTGCTTAAAGTGCCATGCCATGTGATCAGAATTATTTGTGGCTCTTAACATATTCTCTCTCTAAATCATCAGATTAAATCAAAGGGGG